GTTTGGTTCCTAAATGGGGATTGACAGAAGGGGGGCGGGGGGGGGGGGGGGGGGGGGGGGGGGGGCGATGTGTTGGGGTTTGTTGCTTATTGTTGTTAGTTTATTTGGAAGGCTCATAACAAATTAATTTTTTTTGGGGAGTTTTGGGATGCTTCCTGGGTGGTTAGGCTGGCGGGGTCTTTTTTCTGGGAATTCAAGGATGTAATGACCCAGTCATTTTTCTTTCTTTCCTTGTTCTCCAATTTTACTGATAATTTTTTTTTGTTGATTTTTCTTTTACGAGTTCGGTTTCTCGTCGCTTAGTGTCATCTCGAGTGCTTGAGAAGGGTTTCGGAGACTCTTTCTTTTGTATTGACAACTTCCTTAAATGACTGAGTCATTTTCACTTTTTCCTTTTTTTGACATTATTCACTTGTCGTCTTTTCCCCGTTTGTCACTTTTTGGGCGTAACCTCACTTTTCGTGTTCGGAGTTGAGTTTTGACTTCATGAGTTTTCATTCCAGTTGTTTTCCTCGAAACGCGTATCTTTACTTTTGGAGAAAAGCTTGCCGCCTATAGAGGCGTGGATGAAAGGAATCTTCAAAAATATTGATATTTCTTGGGGTATTTTTCATAATCTTTTGGAGATATTTTGATTGGGGGTTTTTAAGAAAATATCTTTTGGAAGATATTTTCATTCTGAACCAGTTGCATAGTTATCCTTTTTTGTAGAGGCCTTTGTGCAATTAATGAAAGTTAACTGCAAAGTGTCTTCTTGGGGCTTGGATCCTTGTACATGATTTATTTTCACATTTCGTCGAGTTGTATTCTTAGAATTGTCTTGCGGTCGATCTCCCCAGTTTTTGGGTTTTTGACCCCAGTTGCCGCCAAACTTGTTTGGGGCATATTTCTCCACTCGGGACTCGGTTTTCAATACCGTTTCTTCTGTTATTTATTTTATTTTTAATTTTGATTCTTTTTCGTTTACGGTGTTTTGCTGTTTGAGCGCGTTTGCTCAAATTTCACTTTTCCGGACCCGGCGAGGACTGTTCGGGGCACTTTTAGGATTTTTCTATAAATAGGAGGACTTAAAATGAAAAGTGAACTTTTTCTTCTTCCTCCTCCCTCCTTGGCCGGCCATCCATGGCAGCCTTGGGCTGCCACCCTTCTTCCTTATTTTCCGACCACTTCCCCTTAGTAAAATGCCGTAATACCTTAGTGTTTATAGTAGGCCTTGGCGAGGCGGTCCTTTTCCCCTTATTAGAATCTGGTTTCGACCATTTTTCAAGTTCGGGTTTGAAGCCAAGTTTGAGTTTTGGCGTGACCTCCTTGGGGTTTAATGTTCACCTTGTTGTTCCCGACAAAACCCCGAAGTTTCGTAGGATTCGGCGTGGTTTCATTTTATTGGTATTTGAGATTTTATCTTAAATTGAGGTAGGGGATGTTTTAGGATTATGTATGTGTTGTATTGAGTACTTGTCATGCTTATACAACTTGTTTGCATGCCTTTGTATTAAATTTAGAAATTTAATTTAATTGTTTCTTTGTATAAGATTTAATTCATATGGGTATATATAGCTTAGAATTAAATTATGGCATGTTATTAAATTAGACCTTGATATGTTTATTAACATATATTAAATTGAGAACGTTTGAATAAGTATTGAGACTTTTGTTTAATTATTTTCTTGTATGAAAATTTAATTTACATGGTTCTATTTAGCATGGAATTGACTTGTAATATGATATTAAATTAGGCCTTGTTATGATCTTTAACATATGTGAATTTGAGAATATTCGGATAAGTTTTAAAATCTAGAAATTTTAATTAAATGAATTAATTAAAATCTATTTAATGGTTGTTTTGATATAATCAAATATTTGAGTAGATATATCTTGTGTAGATATATAGCATGTTTAGAATATTATAATTTATTACCTTGAAAGGTAGTTATAAAATTGTAGCTTATTTAGTATTTGTGGCTTAGGATGGTAATTTGGCTCAATTGTTGTAAAATATTTTTGTTTTGTGTATAAATTGCATATTGAAGACCTGACATGTCATATGCCATTTAGACTTGAATTCTAAGATATGGTTTGTGTGGATTCAACCTTACTTGTGTATGGAAGATGTTTTCTTTTTGTGCATTATTTGATTTGATATAAGTTTGGTTTAACTTATTGGTTTTGCATAAGTTTTGAACTTATTAATTTTGGAAAAGTTATAAGGACATGATATAAGTGATGGCTAGGGTTTGGCTCTATTACAGAGACAAGAATCTTCTAAATCATAAGCGCGCACTAGGTAGTATGTTGTGGGTCGTAATTACCCAGAATAACTTATTTGGTCGGAGACCACATGTCCTAGTCTTTCTACAATTTGATTTCGTATTTAATTTCAAGTTGTTAATCATAGATTACTTGTAACTTGAGAATTGGTACTTACCTTGTGGGTTTAAATTTCATTTAGTATACTTGAATTTATATACTTGTTTATGTATTTAAATCTTATTTAGTATACTTGAAACTGTATACTTGCTTCGTGTATTTATATTTCATTTAGCATACTTGAACTTGTACCCTTGTTTGTGTATCTAAACTTTATCTAGAATACTTATGCCTTGTATGTTTGTTTAGTGTAATCGGAATTCATTTTAGTATACTTGTGCCATGTATACTTGTTTTATGCGTAACTTATTTAGCTTAGTATACTTGTGCTTGTATACTTGATTTATGAGTTTTTCATGTTAATTGTATATATGTGTATGTATGTTTAAACATTGCAAAACTTGTTTAATATGGTTTAGTATACGTGTAAATGTATGCTTATATGTCGTATATCGTGTTTCAACGTTGCTTTGTGTACTTGAGCATGTATACTTGTATGCTATAGTTCATTTCAATTGCATGAGTAGCTTGAGATGATCCCTTAGTTCACCTTAGAACATAGGCATTAGGTGGCATGACCCACTTTAGTTGTTTTCGCATTTTAGATTTCAAGTTGATAACTTTAATAATCTATATATTGTTGCGTTGTACTGTATGCTCCTATATTGTTTAATTGCATAAAAATGTTGTTTATGCTAGAAATATTTTAAGGTAGCTTAGGATGCTTCTTGGGTTTCACGTTTGACATTGACGTTAGGTAGAATGAACTATAAGGATTGATGAATATAAACTTGTAAAACGTTAGGTCTATGCATGTTCATTCCCTATGAGTACTACAGGTTACTCACCCCTCACTGAATGTGACCTATTTTAGGTAAGAAGACATGGTTTTGGGATGCACAATATCCCTAGGTCATTTGTTGGTTTAAGGTTCTTCAAATGTATTCTTGTTCAGATGCAAGTGTTAGCATGTTTGAGTTTTACATTTAAAATTATAATACATAGCTAGGTTCAATATGCTGTTTTCGCCTTATGATATGTAAAGTGTACTTAAATACACTATTTAGAACCTATTTGATATGTATGATTTGTGGCCAAGGGCCAATTATCCTTAATTTACATTTAAGTTCATTTGGTACCAAGTTTTTGCCTTAAAATGTAATTTTTCTAAACTTGGAGGTTTGGTATGTAAAATCTTGTAAATGAACCTTAAAAAGGCCGTAGGCCATGGTATCGTATTTAAAATATCATATTACACTTGCGTGCATGTTCACATCGTCACACAATAGCATATAATTCAAATTAGTCATGCCATAGGGGATTCAAGTAAAGCTTATGAAGCCCTTTATCATTTTCTGGTTTTGTAAAGTTTTTTGCAGAATTTTGAGCTGTTTCGGTTGACCGAAGCATCATTTCAGCTGATTGATGGTTAATTGCACAGTAAAATTTCAATTCCAGTAGCTAATGTCCATTTTGAGCCACAACCGGTTGACCGGTTTGTCATTTCGGCTGATCGAAATGAAGGCTCATTTCTTGGCTCATTCCGACTCATTTCGGTCGACCGAAGCTCCATTTTGGCCTACCGAAATGGAGCTACCTTGTACGTTTTTGTTTGGTTGTTGCCTCTTCAGGCTTGTACTGATTGGTTTGTTCCCACTCGACTTCGTTGACCTTGTTTAAGCCATCTAATGGTGGATATGGTCTAGTTTGGACTAGATCTTGTTTATTGGTCGTCATTGGTACCTAAGGTACTAATTGATTCCTTTGTTTTGTTTCCGCTCTTGGTTAATTCTTTCAGTTCCATGGCTTCTCGAAGTCCACACTGAGAATTAGGATTTGCATCTACCTTAGTGACTGTCACTTCTTTTACTTTTGCATTTTGGATTCGTTTCGGGTCATCACAGGACATACTGGGTTTGTAAAAATCTAGGGTTGTCACAAAGGAGGCTTCCCTTTTATCACGATCACATTTGCCAGTTGGACGGATTGCAGTTTCTTCTTCTCCTCTTTCTTTGTCGGGATGGATGCCTCTATCTCTAAGGGTTATTAAATGTAATGTGGATGCATCCTTCTCTATTTCATCTCATTTGGGAGGCGATGGGGTTGTTTTTTGTGACTCTTCAGGGACTATTTTGGAGGCTGTGATTTTTAGTCAGTTCCCGACTTCTAATGCGACTTTGGCTGAGGCTTTATGCCTTCGTAAGGCTGTCTTCTGGGCATTGTCTTTCACTACTCTTATGTTTGGTTTGAATCTGATTCGTTGTTGGTGGTGAAAGTTGTTTTAAATGATAATTCTGGGCCTTTGGATATTCAGACTATTACCTTTGATGTGCAGGTGTCGCTTTTGAGTTTCTCCTCATCATATCTTAGCCATGTTTATAGACATGACAATGAGGTGGTTAATGCTCTTGCAGCGCTGTCTAGAGATCATCTGGTCAAGGATGTTGCTTTTGTCCACATCCCTTTTCATATTAGTTGTCTAGAAGCCAAGAATTGTTCAAACTGATTTTGTACGGCTTCTTGTGGTGTGTTTGCCAGGATTAAAAAAAATTAATAAATAAATAAATAAATTGAAGAACGGTTTTATGCACATTTATAAATAAACAAATTGAACTGCCTCAAACTGTACGGAGACGCATCGTATTATTTTTCGATACGGATAAGTGAATCAGCGTCCAAGAGGCGAGTCTCTGTCTCTCTACTTTCAATACACGCAGTGAATAACAGTGAAGTCCCCTCGTTACCCCCTCCCTGTTTCCAGACGGCTCCTCCATTAATATACTCTATCTCTCTCTCAAAATCCCTCTCTCTATACTGAAATTTCCTAGAAGTTGCATGTTCCACTCATCAACTACTCTTTCCTATACTTCATCTCGTTCCTGCTCTTTAGGCTTTACAATTTCCAACACAATCATATATATGGTCAGAAATACCCTTTAAACCCTATCGATTGCTTACAAAACAAGCAGAGAAGAACTGTGAGTCTAAGTTTGCTATTTTTGTTCTTTACATGTTCCGTATTTGATTTTGCTTTGCTTGTGATATCGTATATACACGATCAAATTCCATAATTTTGCATCTCATGTGCTTATCTGCAGTTCAATATTTCGATTCCCTGCTATTCTATTGTTTTATTGCTTAATTAAACTTTGTTTATGGATGTCCTGTGAATTCTCTATTTCGTACTTTCTTGCAGTGACATGCTTTCAAGTGGAATTCTAGGGCTCCAAGTTTTGTTTTTACGGATTTTGATTTGGGGATAACAGAATTTTAATTATTCAAAATTATGGCATCACACCATGGTAATAGTCACTCAGAACGGGCTAGAATGGAACAAATAATCACTGAAGTATTTGCTAAGAGTCTCCACATAATACTTGAATCGAGGTGTCCATATGTTTCGTCGCGCAATTATAGTGTTGAGCAAACTATGTCATCCCCATCTTCATCCTCGTCGTCATTGTCTAGTATAAGGCCAAGGGACAAGTGGTTTAATTTAGCCCTCCGGGATTGCCCTGCGGCACTAGAGAATATAGATTTTTGGCGGCAGAGTAATCTTGAGCCGATGGTAGTTGATGTGATTTTAATGCAAAGCCCAAGTCATTGGGACCCAATGAATGGTTCCCCAGAAAGGGGCATCGTCAAGAATTTTTCAACGAAAGTGCAGTTTCCAAATATTTGGAATTCGGAGCATGATGATTTGGGGAGTGCAGAGAAGAGCGAGATGATCATTGAGAGATGGGTAGTGCAGTATGAGACTCGAAAGAGTAGCAGGGACAGTTGCTCAGGGAGTAAGAGGTCTAGTTGTACTAGTTCACACACTTTGTACAAGAAATCGATGTTGCTTTTGAGGTCTTTGTACCTAACTGTTAGGCTTCTTCCTGCATATAAGCTCTTCCGTGACCTCAATTCTTCCGCCCAAATTCGGACTTATAACCTTGCTCATCGAGTTTCATCTTTTGTTGAGCCCTTCACTCGTAGAGAGGAGACAGAAATGCAGCGATTTGTTTTTGCTCCGGTGGATACTTCTTGTGGTAGGCTTTGTCTTTCGGTGTTGTATCATTCTTCACTCTCAGATGTTAGCTCCAAACTATCAACCCCCATGTCCCCACAATTCATATCGGATTATGTTGGTAGTCCAATGACAGATCCACTCAGGAGGTTCCCGTCCCTTCCTGTGACTCAAGGTTCCCCGTCTTCCTCTCCCTTTGGGAGGCGTCATAGCTGGAGTTATGACTTATATAGGGCCTCATCACCTTCAGCATTTCATTCACCTTCACCTTCATACTCTGATTCTCGTGCTTCAATTTCTAAACCGAGTTCTTATCGCCTCCCTCCTACGTGCTTACCCCGTCATCTCCCTGATACACCTCGAGTTCTTGAAAAAAATACAAGTTTTGATGAGTATTGGCCTTCACCAAATTTTTCTCCCTCCCCATCCCCATCTCCTCCTATTTACATTCCTGGGAATATCTCGAAAGCTCTTTTACGGTCCGAAAGCGCTCCAGTTAACATACCTGCATCTAAGCTTGCTACATCCCCTTCATTGCAGAACAAGCAAATTGTGCCTCCATCTCCTCCCCTTAAAGGTACAAGATTGACTACTTCTAAGACGGATAGGAGTTTAGGTTTGACCCAGACTGGCTCGACAGTTGATAAGGTATTGGAGACTCTCATTTTACTCAAGTTTTAGTTCTCGTCTTTATTTCACTTGTGTATAATTTTTGTCTGCTGTAGCTGTTCTCCTTTGGGAAAGATGAAACTGGAAAATTCTCTGGGGTGAAGATATCATCTGACAGTTCACCACAGAAATCGTTTTCCAGGAGCTCTAGTAGGTTGTCTTTCCAGGATGATTTTGATGATTCTGAGTTTTCTGGCCCATTTGTTGTGGATGATGATGACATGACAGATCCAGGTAGCAGGTATTGTTGAACATATATGATTTGTCTTTTTATTTATGTTAAATTATCTTTTTGATGTTCCAATCACGCATACACACCCACATAAGTGTGCTCATTTGATCTGTTCTTATAGCTGATTATCCCATTATTGCAATTGTAAGAAGTTTCCAAGTTTCAATATGTAAAGTAACAATTGAATTGAAAGACTGTCGGAACTTTATCAGTATAGTTGCCATATTGTTTCTAGCTTAGTAAAAATTTGCTATGTTGTAAAAATAAAAAAAGAAAAGAAAAAAGAGAAGCAAGTTAAGTTTCATGAATTGTCCTTTAAACCCACTGTCTGATCAGGAAGCAGCTGGCATCCTTCATCTGCACCCCACAGAATGAAGTGGAAAGTACCTTCCGCTAGGGGTATTATTTGTGAGAAAAAGAAGATATGAGAAATTCCTGTTTCAGACAGTTATTTGGAGTACGTTGTAGCATCATTTACTTATTTACAGCTAGGAATAGGAATGTATATGGTTATCTTGAAAAGTTTAAACTGTCAACTTGTTATCAACCATACATGATTTTTGGAAGGTAAAGAACGATTTGCAAGTTGTCCTTGATCTTTAACATCCATCTGCTTTAGTCACTATTGGAAAGCCTGTCAGTTCATAATAAGGAAGAAAATAGACATTGTTTTAACTGAGGTTCTGGATCTGAAGTTTGAGTTAAATACAGAACTAATGATTGGAAGGTGTCTGAATACGTGAGAGGTTGAAAATTTAATTCACAACCCGACTTGCTAGGTTCATTACAAGCCAGTATTAGGCATTTTTATTTATGTTACATTGACTCTTCAAAAGTAGTGAAGTACCCATGTTGGACACATTGCTTGGACATGGGTATGAGATACGTGTCTGACACTTTTGGCTTGACATTTATTTAAAAGCATATCCAATCATTCAATTAAATTATTCTATTACTTTAAAATGAGTTAAAAGCCTATACTAAACACCATATTAGATAAAAACATTACTTTACTCTAGAAAATAAATAAAATAATTAAATAAAATTAATATTTAGCAATGTTTGTGTGTCCTTCTGTTTAGAGATTTGACATGTCTGACGCATGGATACATACCCGTACTCGACACACGTACTCGAGTCCATGTAGCATAAGTTTTTATATCTTTGGATGCCATGTTACAAAAATTCGGATCCGAAGGGGTCCATAGTCCTCATTAAGGAAAAGATGAGCAATTTGAGTCATGTTCGCATGGAAGACTTTAATGAAACTGCTGAGAACCTAGGTTACTTTTGCAATCAACACTCAATTCTCTAGAACAATGCCTTGTTATTCTATACTGTTGCAAGACTATAGCTGGGTAATTCCCCTTCAGATGACTCCAAAAATAAATAAATAACAAATAAAAAAAAAAATAATAATCTCCCCTCTCAGACAAGTCAACTCATGTAGGTTTCGGCTCCAGCTGACCATACAGATGTAACATCAGCATGATGTTAGTGTACGGATGCTGAAGTTAGCATGCATCCGCTGTTTTCTAATGTTTTGTTGAGTATTCTAATGGCCTTGGGACTTCCATTGATGCTGGAATACAATTTTGGTTAAGGTTAGGGTTTTGGGAATGATAGAGGAGAAATAAGAGAGAAAAATAACTAGGAAGAGGATTAGAGAACGAGTGTCATGTTTCTCATCTCTATACTCTAATTTTTATATTACTAAATAGCTTGTAAATTACACAAAAGCCCTACTTTAGAATACTCAGTTCCAACATATATATTATATGAAAGAGAAATAGGATGTGAAGGAGGAAAGGGTTATAGAAGTAATGCCATAGAATACTCTATTACAACAGATATTATGTGACAATGTAGGTTTGAATCCTGAGAAGACCTTGTGAAAATAATGTCATAAATTAGGTACGTATCCAGCGTGCCTGTAATATCCTGAATTTATATTAGGCCTCTTATGTTTTATGTATAAATTGCTTCTTTTTAAATTTAATTTCCTTTATTTCTTATTTTATATGTTATGCTCAGTTATCTCATTTTATGTTTTGTGAATTGAATTTGTTTTTATTTATTTAACTGCTATGTTTTTCTTATTGGGTGCCTTTTATATTAAAGGAAAGATGAGAGTTCTTAAGTTGTGGAGGATTTGGAATTTCCAAAGTTAATTTAAGTGGATTCTAGGTGGCAGTCTCACATGTTTCCCTTATAGAACCATAGATACACGTTTTTGAACCAAGCTTAACACCTGTTCTGTTTATACAACTCGACAAGGACACATTTTGCCCATTCCCCCTACACCTGTTGCTGCCCTTTTCTATTGTTAAATGCAAAACAAAGGAAAAGCTAAGAAAAGAGAATTAGGGAGAGAGATAGAGAGTTCTGGCCTAAGTTTAGAGAGAGAAAGAGAAAGAAAGGGAAAGCAAAGGAAGAAGGAAAACAGAAGGAAGAGAAAAGAGACTGGGCTGTAGGATCATCATTTGCACTTAACTTGGTAGGGATTTCTCTAGCTTATGCAGCCTTGAATGAATTTTTATAAATATTCCATTTCTTTACTGCTAAATCTTGCTCGAAAACCCATACTTGTTTTGCCTTGCCCAAAATTTTGTATACCCCAAGACTTGTTATATACTGAAATTATATTTCCCTTTGTTCAATTGCTATGATTGGTTCCGTGTTTTTAAGAAATTCATATGCTGATTTTGAACTGTACACTGTTATGCTCGTAAATTCTCATGGCATGTGTAGATAAATCTGATTTTCCACACGATGATACTAGATAGTTTGGAAAGGTGTTTTAAAACTGAGAACTGGTGCATATTTTTCTGAAATCCCAAAGTATGTGCATAAAATTGAGGCATTTGTTAGGGTTCTTCCTACTGAGCATCTACTGACTCGACTCACACCTTATATTTTTCAGGTTTTGACCCTCAAGTTGGGTGGCACAAGCGATGCTTGACATGGGTGTTGATTTTTAGTTGCTGCAAAGTATTTTGGTAGAGCTTGCTGTTTTGAAATGATGTTTTGAAGCTGAATACAGTTGTATATATAAAAACCAAGTCATGATATCATTTCAAAACAGCAAGCTCTACCAAAAATACTTTGCAGCAACTAAAAATCAAGACCCATGACAAGGCATCGCTTTTGCCACCAACTTGAGGGTCAAAACCTGAAAAATATAAGGTGTGAGTCGAGTCAGTAGATGCTCAGTAGGAAGAACCCTAACAAATGCCTCAATGAGGTTTTATGCACATACTTTGGGATTTCAGAAAAATATGCACCAGTTCTATCATATGCCTCTACATATGCCATGAGAATTTATGAGCATAACAGTGTACAGTTCAAAATCAGCATATGAATTTCTTAAAAACATGGAACCAATCATATCAATTGTACGAAGGAAAATATAATTTTAGTATATTATAAGACTTGGGACATTTACAAAATTTAGGGCAAGGCAAAACAAGTATGGGTTTTCAAGCAAGATTCAGCATTAGAGAAATGGAACATTTATAGAAATTCACTCAAGGCTGCATAAGCTAGAGCCCCACCAAAATCGGTCGAAGAAGTGGTGGTTGAGCGATCCTACGGCCCTTCCCCTGTTTCCTTTCTTCTTCTTCTTGCTTTCTTTCTAACTCCCTCTATTCTTCCCTTTTTCCCTTTTCTCTCTCTCTAGAACTCTCTGACAGCCCCTTTCTTTCTAGCACTCTGTTTTCCCCTTTTTCCCTTCCTTTGATTGCATGTAACAGAGATGAGTACCCAGCAGGTGTAAAGCTTGGACAAACCTGTCTCTAAATGGTTTATATGAAACAAGACGGGGGATATAGCAGGTGTAAGGCTGGGGATAAAATATGTCAATATGGGTGCATGATACATACATGCGTTAAGAGGATTCCTATGAGGCTGCCACATGGTTTCCAACTAACTCTTACATAATGTCCAAATCCCTCCCTGACAAACTAAATTAATCACATAAGGGCCCCAACTCAATTTCCCACATTTCTATCTAATAACCAAAAATGTCTCACATAAATAAATAGATCAATTATATATAGAAGCAGGATGAATTATTTACCACATAGAAATGGAGAAATTAAATGAAATGCAAGGAAATTAACGCATATAGCATGAAACGATCTAATTAAAAATCTAGGGTGTCATAGTGCCACTCTCAATACCCTTGATTAACCGGGATCACACTAGGTGATGACCCCCTTTTTCTAATACCTAGTTAAAACTTTTCTAAATGAATGTGAATCGCTAATTGTGTCTCCTTAAAAATTTGGATTTTCTATGATTAAATTTTTTTTGGAAAGGATGGATTCTTAATGTGATATAATGATTTTAGCGATACCAATTGGAGGCTTATGTATCTTTAGGGGAGACATTTTGTTTTTGTAGGAGGAAACAGTGTTTAGAGGTGACCTTGTTGAAATCTGGATTTGTTTATTTGATGCATTTCCCATTCCTAATGTGGAGAAGATTTGTTTATAGGCTTTTTATGTAGCTGGCATGTGTTGAAATTTTCCGTTATAAGGTTGAACAGTCAAAAAAGACTCTCTCTATGGGTGTGTGCGCGCGCACCCGCGCACAAACCTTTGATTTAATATTTAAAACAATAGGGTTTGTCCATGCACAAACACATACAAGACAGTGGGTTTTCCTTTTCACTGTTCAAATTGTTCATGCCCTTTAAAGGGCATCCTATATAAATCTATGAAAATCTCTTCTTTTTTTTTTTATTCATTTATTATTATTATTAATTTTTTTTTTTAAATGAGCAAGTATTCACTAAGAATGCCCAAAAGGGGGGCGTGACCTAGAACAACTGCACTATAGCCTCAAGCTATTCACAAAAGAGAAAAGAATCTCCATAGATGTACAATTGGGACACTAAACCCAAAACAAATAGAGAACTAAATGCTGAATGTCTAAACGCCCCTCCAACGAGTCCCCACCCCATCAAAGGATCTCCTATTCCTTTCCTTCCAAATAGCCCACCACTAACAAAGGGGCGTTGTCCTCCACGCATTTATTACTTAGGGAAGCGTCCAACAACCTCCCAAGCATAAATGACCCAGTGGATCCCAAACATGGTGTACAACATATCCCAACCATCCCTGGCTCTGGGGCAATGAACAAGGAAATGATCAACCGACTCCTCATCCTCTTTACACATATAGCACCAATTGACAATAATTTGACGTCACCTTCTCATATTGTCAATAGTCAAAATCCTTCCCAAACTAGTTGTCCAAGCAAAAAAATCCACCTTCAGGGGGCTTTCGAACGCTGGATCCCGTCATCCATCAACTGGCAATAGAGCACAGACTCAGATCTCCCATGGTTTGTACCCGGTCAGATCCACTCATCTCTTCCCTCTCAAGTGACAACCTGAATATAAAGCAGACTTTTCCCAATCATTCAGGCGTCTTTGAAATTGTACATCTGTACATCCCACGTCAATCTCCTGTCATTAAGATGATAGCAGTGAGCCACTAGGACGTGCATATCCACCGCCATTCCAGCCAATCTTGGAAGGACTCTCTCTAGCGACCTCTTTTTCCACACCAAGGGTCCTCCCAGATGCTAATTAGACGCCTGTCCCTAACCTTACATCAGATATGCTTGGAGAATTCATCCCATGCCTTCCGGATGGTCTTCCACTCGCCTAAACCTATCGAGGACCTCAACATTAGAGTAGTCACCTGTAGACTCGCCTTATCCATGGAAAATGATTCTACTCCACAGACTCTGTCTCTCCGCACCAAACCCCCACAACCACTTGCCCAACAAACCTTTGTTGAACAAGTTTAATCTCCTCACTCCCAGCCCTCTAGCCTGAACGGGTCTACAATTTGCTCCCACCCCACAAGATGATATTTGAATTTATCTCTCATGCTGCCCAAGAAGATATTCCTTTGCAGTCTCCCTATCCTCCTCACTGCAGAAGCTGGAATGGGGAGGGGGGGACATAAATTGCTTGGGAAGACTCAAAAGGGTTTCTCTATAACATAGTCAAACGCCCCTTTCGATAAATACTGCTGCTTCCAGCCATCCAGCCGCCTGATCCGAAGAACAAGCTCTCCTTGACTGAACTCCCAACGATAAGCCCAAATAGACCAGAAGAAAAGATCCAACACTGCGACCCAGTATGATGGCCAAATGGGCAATCTCCTCCACATCTCCCACAGGAACTATCTCACTCTTGCCAAGGTTTTATTTTCATCCCCTAGACAGACCGTAAGAACCCCAGAACCCCTCCCAGGTTTGTCAACCGACTCACAACGGCGTCACAGCTAGAGTGGTCTTTACTAATTTTGAATCCTGTGAATTAATACAGCTCCCCTGGTCGTCTCATCAGTCTGTTGAATGCCTCCATCAAAATGATAAAGAGAAAAGGAGATAAGGGATCCCCTTGCCTCAAAGCTCTCGAACTTTCAAAGAAGCCTGATGGGACACCAGAAGAATCCTACTGTGGAGATACATAAACGAATCCATCCCCTCCACCTCTTGCCAAACCCCATCCTCTCTAGGACATAGATCAGGAAGTCCCAACTCACGTGGTTATAAGCTTTCTCCACATCAAGCTTACTCACCATTCCGGGCTCTCCACTTCTGAATCCACACATTCACTAACCACCAAAACAGAATCCAGGATATGACGCCCCTGTCAAGGACTTCCTTCAACCTTGTCGATGCTATGAAACTCTTGATCATCACTAATTATCAAAATAGGAAATTTGGGTAGTTGTGACCTGAGTGGTGTGTGGAGTCTGTTGATCCCAAGGTGCAAATACCAAGAGTAGAAGTGTATGCAACCATGAGTTCTTGTTCCTCTCCCTAGTCCAAACATTTTGATGAGAATTTAAGATGCCTGGTACCAATGATGAATGGAAAACAGAGCTGATAGTTATGCAAACAGATATTTTGATAATTCTTTCTTTTTATTTTTTTGGTCTCTCTTTCTTGGTTACTGTTGGATGCCTCCAACCCAATTTGGGGAGATTCAAAAGGTTTTTGACTCTTCACGTAGGTAAGAAGAATGTGATTCTGTTAACCTGGTAATGGCCATATTCCCTCTACAGGAAGTTGTTTAAAAGGCATTGTCATCATAAGTAGCATGATATTCCTGGATTAATCACTTTATTGCTAAGCTCCTCATACCTTGGGGACCCCCTTAGACACATCTGTACTTAAAGCCTACCAAAGGTGTTATTTTTGGTTCTCTATGCCTAAGGATGCTGAATACCTTTACAATGATTAGAGGGATGGCCTAGTTATTTGGTAATCACAAACAAATTACTAGTCCTCTCACATACTCTTTGACATGGGCTCAGTCACCTGCATTATGGTATATAATTGGTACAATCTGCCCCCTTCACAATCCTTTTTAGACCTGGACTTGATGACTCCTGCCATGATTATTCAACGTCCTTTCTCTTCACATTCCTATTTGTTCTTCCTTTCACATAAGCACCTTTAATAAGTGCATAAGTTATGGAGTCAATAATCAGTTTCTGCCCGAGCATTTACCAAATGTCCCAAACACATAATGGTGATTTAATTCTCCTAAACTTAGCTCACTATGAACTGATAGTTAAACTTAGCTCACTATTCTATAGTTTGCGAATGCAAATTCAAACAGCCTCTCAACATGTGGAGGTAAGGCTGCGTACATTTGGCCATCTCCAGACCCCACAATTGTGGAAAGCCACATGCATTGGGTTTGCCCTGTAAACACTTTAATGCGTTCTAAAAAATGTTTTACTTAATGTGTTTAATGATATGAATGCATGCCCGTGAACCCTAATTTTGCAAGTGCACAATTTTAAGAGTTGAAATTACCTTTATAAGCTTGTTTGATACTTGAAATATCCATTTTGCCTTGGACAGAGGTAACTCAGTAACCTAAAACTTTTAAAATCATAAACAAAAATTAAAATTCAATAATACATACTCTATTTTGTATGAAGTTTGTCAACCTAGGTCTAGTAACCCACCAGATGGAATAACAATCTTACTTGTTAATGTGAACGCAACCTTTTGAGAGAACAATGTATCCCATTTAAGAGAAATTTTGAATCAATTACTATACAACTGCTAGAAAAACATAGAGGCATTAAAAACCTATTGTTACATGTTTCAAGTTACACTTCTATTTCTCTCCTTTTGTGGCTGAAGTTATGGAGAATGAGGGCACTCTATATCCTTTTGTTTATGAAGATATCTGTGCCATAACTCATGGATCTTCCAGTCTGTCCAAGTTGTATCTTGATATGCTGTTGAAATGAATTTACTACTTTCAGAATTGTTTTTCTGCTTTTGCGATTTAACTGACATGTTATGTACCTCTCAGACCTAGTTCATTTGATCAAAAAGGACATCAGTGTGAGCCACATGAACCTGGAGGATTATTTCCGCTTAGAAAATCCCACAATGCTGCCGTTGGTGCTCTTGTTTGTATGTTGAAGAAAGCAGAACCTCTTTGCCAGGACTTATCCAATTCAAGAAATTTGTTGCAAACCACCCATCCTGAATCCATACCCAACAGCACCAAAGAGCCTAATCACACCTCGGAGAAGCTAGACTTTCAGCATGCAGCTTCTTTGAGCATCACTTCTTCTGGGCTTGTTATGTCCAAGACAACAGCTGATGCATTAGAAGAACTCCGGGTTTACAGAGAGATGAAAGACTCGTTGCTTAGGCAAGGTGGAAGGTCCTACACGGGGGGCACTTAAGCTTCCGCCTGAGAATCTTCCAGCAGAGAAAACTGGGTTTTAAGCTTGCATAGCTTCTAATTCCGTTGAAAATATGTACAGCATTTCGGTTTGAGTATTGGGGACTTCATGCCACAGTTTAGAGTACTTGAAATCAAATCATAACTAGATTTATATTATATATAATACGGGCATATGTACATACATATTTATGAACGTATATAAATTGGTGCATAAGGTTTATATCATCCATTTGACAGCATAATAAGTTCTATGTACTAAGTTTTCACCCTATTTTGATTGTTAAGTATTGTATAGAATCAGAGGTGGTTTTATAAATGAATTTTGCAGCCTTGATATGTATATGCATTGTCGAACTATTGTTGTCCTTAAAGCTCATGTATAAATCAAATACTTGGTATGGTGTTGGAGGAGGGCGTTTAATTTCCTAATCTACATTGGTCTCCACAGTTTTATAATTGAAAACAGCGTTCTTAATCCCTATATTTTCTCCATTCAAGAACAACTATTTTCTTGTAAAGGTATCAAGGTTGTTGAATTCTGCCTTTATTACTAGTGTGTGATATGTATATGAAATCGATTTTTTACAGTTCCAAAAGGCTAGCTATACCCACCGCCCCTATTTCGTGTATATGGATCCGGTTATGAGCTAAATTTGAGTGAAACGACTTGATGGCATCAATGTTAGAAAAGAAATTAAATTTACTGCAACTTATGCAGCACGGATACGATACGACACGGTGACACGTCAAATTTTTAAAAACTATGACACAAGTGTGGCGTTTCTATTAGTTCCATCGTTAGGGTGGTTTGCTCATTTGCTCCTTTGTGTGTGTGTGTATATATATATATATGAATGTTTATTTCATATCAAATCTAATAATAATTTAACTTATAAAAAAAATTAAATTTGATAGTTTTTTTTTATATATTTTTTTATGTGTAGTTCAAGCAAAGAGACCTTAGAAAAGGTTTCTTTTTTTGAATCATTCTCATTGAGTTGACTGTTTAATTAAAACGCTTATGAAATATTTTAATAGTGTATAAGTATTATTATTTGTCTAACAATTAGCATAAAATCATACTTTGATAAGTTTTTAATTGTTTTATAATTATACTTTAAATTATATTATGAAATGGTTTAATAAATTAAATTTAAATGGGTTATTGTTCATCAATGAGTTGACTTTAAGATTCAAAAGATTGATTAGTAATTTTGTTGTAAATTAGAATTTATTCGCACGTGTAAATAGTTTCGGTATATTATTTATTTATTTATTTTTATAATTCATTTTTAATAATATAATTTACATTTATTTCTATTCTCTTTCTAATTATTTCCTAGTAATAATAAATTTAACTTTTCAATTCTATACTTTTTCTAACTCTACTTTTCAATTCTATACTTTTTCTAACTCTTTCTTAAATGTGATTTTATTTATTTATTTATTTATTTATTTCTTTCTAATTCTACTCTAGTTCTAACTCTTTCTATTATAATAATAATTTAGGCATTTTAACACAAATTTGCGAGAAATTTTGTTAATGTCGCATAACTATCGTAATAATTAATATTTTCTATTTATTTCTATTTATTTTTAAATATTATGTATTTCAATAAATATATAAAAATAATATACACAAAATTATTAACTACTAAATAAAATCCTTAAGTCTATCAACTAGTCCTAAGAATTCTATACACAAAATTATTCTATAACGTATTTTAAATTTTTAATAATTTTATTTAATTCAATAAATATATTAAAAATAATTTTCTTACAAATAAGCTCCTAAAATTCTATATCACCTACTAATAAAATCATGAACTATATCAACTACTCGAATTATTTACACAAAATTATTCTTATATTTAATTTTTTATAATGTATTTTTTATTTTATAATATTATTTATTTCAATAGATATGTAACAACAATTCTCTACTCCTAAAAATTCTATATCAATCACTAATAAAATCATAAATTCTATCAACTACTCTTAAGAATTGTATATACAAAGTTATTCTTATATTTTTATTTTTGATCATTTCTAATTTTTTAAACTTACAATGTCTGCTAATAGTGTCTTTAATTATATAAACTATTCCTAAAATTTCAGTCAACCGTTATAATTTTCACTCACTTTATGTATATACAAGCATTTTCACTCACATGCATTTTAGTAGCGAAGAAAGATAGTTATCTTCCAACTAAAGGAGAAGGGTGAGTGTATTTCTTGTTAATGTAAAAAAATCAAAAAATAAATAACATCCAACCAAAGAAACTTTATTTAGTAAGTTGGTATTGTGTAAGCATGTTACAATATATTAACTCTTATCCTATTTATTAATATTAATGTGATTAAATAATTTTTTATTTTTTGTTGGTAAATTTAAATGAATAGTTACTACTTATTGTTTAAATATTACAAGAAAAGCTTAATGGTTAGACTCCTAGGTTCTGTTTGGCTAGATGGAAATAACCTTAAAAAGAAAAGAGAAAAAAAAAATAGAAAGTGAATGAAAAGTGAAGTGAATGAAAAGAAAAGAGATTTTATAGCATGCATTTGGTTAGTATAAAAATTTGTCCAAGAAAATTATAGAAAAATATTAATTTGTTAGTTTGGATAGTATGAAAGGGAAAATAAAGTGATTATGCATACCAAAACTACCCTTGTGAAGTAAAATGATGGATTATTAAATTCAAATATATAATTGTTTATATTCATTTTTATTATTTATATTTAGAACAAGGCTTCATAATATTTCTTTAGGTAAAACTAATTATTAGTTCAAGATAAACAAATAAAAAAAATAAAAAAATTAGAGATGAAGAGGCAATACCACTATTTGGGAGAAAAATCAAATATTTCACCATATATATATATATATATATATTCATATGCGATTATGAATGGTTAGAATTGCAACATAGAGCAAACGATTAAAAAAAATAAAAAATTCTATTTAGAAGCATGATCAATTTTGAGCAATTTTACCCAAATTATCATTGATATTCTATATATATATAATAGTATAATTTGCCTTGCGAAGTTGCCTCAGAATAGAAGTTATTTTGGAGAGAACTTTTCACGATTAAGTTCCTGGATAAAATAGGAAATGCAAATAAATAAGCGTGAAAATAAAATTTTCACGTGTATTTTACAGAAATTTTTTGAGGGAAAACACTTAATGCCATAAACTAAATTTTTCGTTAGGTTTCTCTTTTTATCTATCCAAACTGTAAAAAAATTTAAAAACTCTCTTTCCTTTCTTTTCTAGCTGTTTCCACCTAACCAAACAAAGCCTTAGAGTCCATTTGGGCTATACGAGGGGAAAGTTAGTCTTTTGGAGCACAAAATTTCTAAATGATTAAGAAATAACTTTGCCCTCATGCATTTAAAACAAAACATCAATTGGAGTATATTATAATTGTCTCAAAAAGAGTTGAAAAATCTTAAGATTGAGAAAATACATTTGTCACCACAATCCAATACAAAAATAAAAGGGGGTTTAAAAAAACAAACTGCTGGGGGAATCAATTTCTTTGAATTTTGGGTAAATTATAGTGACCCCCATTTGAGGTCTATCTTATTGACAACCGTATATAAGCTAGGTACTTTTTTTAATAATGACACCCCCTATCAGCTTTTGTACATAAAAATACTATAAAATATCTAAATTACCCTCAACTTTTTAAAACTTTGAATAAAAGAAAAATAGATAAACTAAAAGACCATTTTGCCCCTAATATTTAGGTGAAAAAGGAATGGTGTTATCTAATTTTGGGGCGATGATATAATTGGTGTATATATTTTTGCCGGCTAACTAATATTACTAAAAAAAATAAAAAAAATTCTTAGTCGGTACTCACAGACACATGCCTCCACTGAGGCTCAAACTCCTGACTTCTTTTGGGAAGTTGGGGCCTAGTACCGCTAGGCTACTGGCTTGTTGGTATTGCTAAAAAAATATTCAAAGTAAAATCATTGAGTCTGTAATATATATATATATATATATATATATATATATATATATATATATATATATATATATATATAGGATTTTGGCACTAGCTAAGATTTAATTAATGCATGCAAGCGTTCGTATTACAATAATTTAATATTAGTTAAATAATGTGCAAGGTAGAAAATATCATTTTAACAAGTTCAAGTATTGTAGATATTGTGTGTGTGTGTGTATATATATATATATACCCTTGAATAGGCAACTTGTCAATAAATGTTTTTTAATTTTTTATAATAAATAATAGTTGCATAATCTCTAGTACTTAAACTACTATTTTTCCATTATTGCTAATTAATATGTCTTTTACTATATATTAAGTTCTTTCTCCTTTCCAATCATATTATTGTGTTTTTCATGCTACCAATTAGAACAATAAATCATATTATTTGACGATAAAATGCTAATGAGGTTGGAGTCCAATAAAATGTTGGAAATAAATAGAAACTTATAGTAAGAAATTTAATACATAGGTAATTCTTTTTTAGTTTTGACTTCGTAAGAAATGGAAGAACTAAGTTCAATCCTTATAATTATGTCAAATTACTAAAGCCATGCTTGTGTTTCACAATTACTATTATAGAGAAAAATGAAGATTAAAGTAAATGGGTTTATTTAAATCTTTAAAGATTTTTATCCGAATATATATATAGTTTGTAAAAATGGTATATAATTGGTAAATATATATATTTATCTTGTTGTATATATAGTCTAGCCAAAAGTGTGAAATACCCACCTAGGCTTTCGGCAAATGAGCAAATTACCCCTTGGGCAAAAAAAGTGAGCAACTCACTCATAGTAGTTTTGAAAGTGAGCACTTTGCCCTCCTTTAGACGCTGGAATTCTCTTTCCGGTGATATACTTTTACACGTGATTCAGTTAATTGATTTAATTCTAAAAGTTCCCTCTATGAAGACCATTATACCCTCCGCTGTTATTTATAAACTCTGGCCCTCCTTATGCCAAATCAAACCCATTTCAACCACTTCATCCCTCTGCTCTTTTTGTGCTCACTCTCTCGGGTCAGTATATATATATATTTGTATTGCTATATATATCTAAATGTATATATTGCTATATATAATGACGTCGGTGTTTGCAGTCGCATACAATAACAAGCAAGATGAAGAGTGCTAAAGTGGCCAAGTTTAAATTTAGAGATTGCGACTACCACTTCTAACTAAAAATATAGCTAGGGTGAGTAGGGATCATTCCAAGGGAAAATGAGGTGTATTAACTTGGAAATCAACGTTGGATTAGTAGGTCGAGTGATCAAAGATGTTTTGATTGGTTAATTAAACTACAATGTAAACTAA